GAGTTTAATTATATTGTGAATTAATTTGTTTCAAGCCCCTTTTCTTGTTTATTGTAAACTCAAATCACGGATTGAAGATTCGTGAAGGAGGCTGGGCGGTGGTGGTGGGGATGAAGCTGGTGGAGGAGAGTTAGCTGGGGGAGTTGGGCTTGCAGGTGGTGGAGAAGTTGTTGGAGTAGGAGGAGGCTGGGAGGCTCAAGCGGAGTTGATGTTGGAGGATGAACGGATATTGTCGGAAAATTTTTGTTAAGTTGGATAGTTTCGCACAAATAATCATAATTTTCCATTGAAAACAAATTCGATCAAACACCAAAAGTTGGAAAATCTCAAAATTTTTTGGGTGAAAAATTATACCAATCAAACGCAACTAATTGACAATTCCCGGGAAAATTTTTTCTAGACAAATATTTTCTTTGGAATTCATTTTCTTTCCACTCATTTTCCACCGTTGCAATCAAACGCACCCTAAATCTAATAAGTAGAACTTGTCTAGTTGAAAATTGAAATTATGAAAAAATTCTAAATTTTACATTCCAAAAACTTGAAAATTGTATAATTGATTAATAATATGAATTATTAAGTAAATATAGTATTTTGTAATTTTAGATGTTTGATATGTATTATTTTAATTATTAAATGATTTTTAAAATGATTGAAAATTCAAAATAATATTAAAAATAGAAAACTTTTTTTGTACGCCTAAATCTCTCCTAGGCTCACTTAACCTCGTAAAACTTGAAGTTTCATTTCACGTCTGATCACGCTTTATGTCTTTTAGAACACCGATTTAAAATTATTGTGGAAAAACATTTTGATGGTCATATAAAGACTTCATATTCGAATGTCTTTCTTTCTCATTTTCTATCAATTAATGGTATATCCCATTTCACACAACGGTCTCGTTGAAAGACGACACGATTGTTGAAATGCCCTCATGCCTCCCTCCCTCTAGCTTATTGGTCTCATGCTTTTGCATTTCAGTTTATCATTTGTTATTATGAAGACTTGTATCGTCTTCAAAAGTTTTTTCTCATTATGGATACGTATACTATCTATGCAAATTCAATATTAAAGTTTTCCATAACGAATAAGAAAGCAGCTGATGCAAACATGATGTATGTTCGATAACCATTATTTAAAAACTCTCTCTCTTTTTTTTTTTTTTTTACATACTTATTTTCAACCTTACATCACACAATAAAATATTCGGCACTTAAACTCAAATATTTTCGCTTCTCAAAAAAATTACTATTCAATATATTATTTTTCCCAAATAATGGGTGTCAAAGGCATAAATTAATGGCCTGACCATGTTTATTCATATAAAAAGAAGGTGCAAAAGGACTGGACATAAGTAATTACCTCCAAACTTATAAAAAAGAGTGACAAAGTAACTTGGAACAAAAAAAAAAAAAAA